ATAATCAAAATACACTGTGAGTCTCAATGTGATGTCTCAGGTTAAATAAGGCTAAATTTAAAAATATCAGAGTTAGGCAAAAATTATCAATACTTATGAGTCAATAAAAGTTGTAGTTGTTCAAAAGTAGTTTTGTGTTTATTAGCAAAGTATAAAAATGAGGAGAACTCGAAAAACCGTCTTTTTATTAAGTCTTAGACGAAAACATTATTCTCTTCGTTTTTTGTGCTCCGCAAGGACTCTCGCTCCGCGCACTCGACATTATGCGCTCCTCTCACGTACCAAAATAAAAATGAATAAAACTTGGAAAGGCTGATCCAATTCCATGAATTTTTAATTACCTATTGAAAGTTTTTCATACATTCAAACCTTTCTCCGTTAAAATTAAAACATTAATTAATAGTTCTTGATTCTAACCTAAAATAAAATGTAAACTCGAGTCATCTAACAAGTAGCTGGAGACAAGTTCCATTGCCTGTTGTTACAATTGACATTCCATGACGTCAGGCAATGTAAGTGGCAGACGTGATACTTAAGTGACGCGATACTAAGGACAATCATTTCTTCTGTCAGTGCAAACGTCTGTGTCCTTCACTTGGTGAATGAACTTGGCATTATCAATAAAAAACACGAACCCGAGGCAGTGCTTTTTTCACCATAGAGTGAACCGTGTGCTTGTCACCCAGTGGATTGCCATCTAGGAAAAAGTGTCTCAGCTCTGAGGAGAATTTCCAATTATCCAACAGCTCACGTAAGCCCCGTTCATTCATATTTAAACGCGAAAGTTTTAAAGCACGCAAACTGGACAAGAAACGACAACCTCCTGTGTTGAACGTAAATAATTGTGAAACCAGAGATGTTCTGTCAAATCCTGTTGGTGATGCCTCAATCTCGTTTGTTTCTAGAAACCCTCTTTCCGGCCCAGATATCGAGAGCTCACGTAAGGACGACATTTCAGAAATTGACCGACCAAGCGCGGCGGCTGTGACTGGAGTCAGTATAATGTCTTCCAGTCCCAGTTGCTCAAGAGTCTTGTGTGTGATACTACAAAACAGTTTGTTTACTGCTTCAGCACAACAGTTATTCAAGTTAAGGTTAAGGGAGACGAGATTCTTAAACTGTGGTAACAAACCAGCGAGCTTCGTTACGTCGGCTGACGTCAGTGACGGCCCGCCTGGAGGATATAAATGGAAAGAACCAAGCTGTACCCGACACGTACGGGGGTTTGGTACATATTGAAGAAGTTCACAAGTATGTTTAGTTACACTCGGAAATAAAATATGTTTTAAATTCTTACAATCTCTAAAAATGGTAACAAGACATTTCATCGTTTGCTCGTTGACATCTGTAGAAATGTAAAGAAAGCTTAGATATTTCAAACAGAATCCCTCTGATGACGAACTTGTGGAGTGGGATGGAGTGGAAGTCAAGTTGGTGACATCAAATAAGTCAGCATGGTCATTACAACACAGGAACAAACGAGTGATGTAAAAAAACACCTGGCCGTTATGGTAATGAAGAATGCACGTGAAATCACACCGCAAATACGAAGCACATCTGATAGCTTCAAACTTTCTTAAAAATTCCCCAACTGCGACAACCACTGAATTCTCAGTCATCCTAAGGGGAACGTCCAAACAATCGAGAAACTCGATCGACTCGTTTATTTTCGTCGCCTTTTGATGAACAATTTCGTTTCCAAACCAAACCACACCATTAACAGTAATTCCATTTAAAATTCTCCGTTCGGGTATAATTTCACGAACTGATCCTCCCTCAACAAAGATGATCCCATCAGTGCAATTTAAATAATGTCTTAAGACTTCAGTTTTGGTTTGAACTTCACCAAATGAACTATTTACCAGGGTAATAAAACGCTGGCGCTTCCTTGTAATGTCACACAGTGGCTCGTCGGTCCCATCGGGTATCATTTTTGACAAATCCAGTTCTGAGTCAGAAATTCTAACCGATTTCAAATGTTCAAAAACTTTCACTGCTCCATCATCAGACAAACCGCAAACAAACTGAAAAACATTTTCTAAGGATCTACAGTCGTCCAAAGTTCGGGTGCGGTCGTTAATTTCACCGAGATTTCCTTCAGGGGCACATCTGTAGTTAATATACCACGCTGCTAAGAATTCTTGTATGCTCTTGTGAATAAACGATACCATCCCTGCTGGTCGAAGATTCTCTGAGTACTCACTGACTTGAAGTAAGCCTATAATCCGACTTTCTTCGCAAATCCGGATGGCATGGGACAGTTGATCATACTCGAATACATGATCGTCCTTCAAAAGACATTCTAACGCCACCTTTCCAATTTTAGCCAGAATCTCTTTGAAATCTTCAACTTTGCGAAAGTTAGCAGGAGAACATTTCGCTGCATTATGATTCAAAACGTACTGAACGATTTCAAAGTACAATGTTGTTTTGGAGTCAGGAAAGCTCTGTGCGCTTCCTTTTTTCCACAAAGTGCAAAAGAACAGGAGAAGTAGCGGAACTCTCGACAGATCGTTCAGGTTTCGCTTGCAAAGATGACGATATAATGCGATGGCTTGTATTTTGTCACCAAGCATTCTGACCATAAAGGAGTGGCTGTCCTCTCCACTGAACCCAGTGATCTCAGCATGCACGTCCTTAAACTCTTTCAGCTCATCCGCTTTGGAAATTCGAGTTGTTATCAACACACAACAGTTTCTCAGCTTGTTTCCTTTGAATATCTCAAAGATTTCAGAGTTGCTTCCGAAACGATATTCGTCGTATCCATCAAAAACGAGGAGAACTTTGTCTTGGTTGTGGGTGATGTAACTCAGCAGACCGTCCTTCATGGCTGTGTCCTCATCGGCAAAAATATGGGAGGCGCTTATGATATCTCTGAAACTTTTGTGTTTAGATACTTTCTTGAGATCAATAGTAACAGCAAGTTCGAACTTCTTCAGTATAGCTCTCTGTTCATCTGTCAACCTGTTTTCGTCATGTTCAGCCCAATCCATAGCCAGTTTCTTCACAAACGTACTCTTTCCGATTCCTGTCTCCCCTTGCACAAGTATCCTGTTTGATGGCAATCCGTTCTTGTTTTCAGTGAGCACATCAGTGTAGTGATTCAGCACAGCCCGTGATGACTCAGCTGGGCTTTGTTCTTCTTTCACCCAGGACAATCGAGTGTAGATCTCGTGAATATTCACAGCACTTTTTTTGGACCACACAGAGGTTGGCACAGTGGCGGTTCTCTTGTAATGCTCTGCAAGTTTACGCCGGCAGACTTCCACATCAAAATGATTTCTGAGTATGTCTGGCATGTCTGTTTCAAGAAAACAAAATCCCGATAAAAAACAATCATTAAAATGATTAATGTTTACTCATGATACATTTCAATGGCCTGTACAATTTAAGACTAACTGTCAACAGCTGGTTATCAGGCTTAAGCATGACGTCAGAACCGTCAGTGAACAATCAAACAACCTATTACCATACCCCCCGACCCACCCACCATTTGTTCACTAAAAATAAAATATTTAGACTGCCTGGTTTTGGGTCACAGATGGGCTTAATTTTAGTGTCAGCAATGCGTTCACTTGATAGAGGTATCCTTTTAAAGCAAGTTTGGTTTACAGTAAACATGGGGAAATGAAACCAAACTTTGGCCAGCGTCTGCTTAGTACAAAATTCACTGTCAAGGAATAAATCATTTCAATTATTTCTAATTAATCAAAGTTTTTGAAAATAATTACCATGATTGTCACAAATTTGTTCTGCTAAGTCTTTGCGCTGCACGAGTTTATGCTGTAATGCAGCTTTCAAAATTTGATAAGTTGCTGCAGAACCATTCTTCTGTTTCCAGTGCATTAACATGGGGTATCCTCTCTTCTCCAAATACTTGTGATTTTGTTCTATACTCTCTAGTTCTGGCTCCTGCACTCCCAGGCGACGCCCAAGTGTATCCCACTTGGCACCAATTTTTCTGCCTAATTCCTCTAGTTCATCATCATTTGGTGTACCTTGTATTACTAAAGAAAAGAATAAATTCTGTTTCTGGGGTCTTGTCAACTGAACAAGATAAGCAGATCGCATCATAGGAAACAAACATTTCCAACCTAGTTCGATTGCGCCAATCAGTGCTCAGGACCACCACAAGCAAAGATGACAAATCCTATTGGTCAGATTTAAGTAACTGACCCCGGTAATAAGTGACAGCGGTAGATAATAAGATAACCCAACACATGACTTAAGCCAGGAGCACATTTGTAGCATCATCTTTCCTGCTCACCAAAGCTTTACTGTTTGGATAGTAAATTAAATCATGTATCCCAAGCGCTGTGCTGCTACCATAACGCCAGTGAAAAAGAATAATACCATAGTATGATATAGTATGATACTGTATATAAACACACATACATGTGCACACACCACCCATAATCCTCTGGTTGACTGCTCTGCAAAAGGACTATACTAAGCAACATGCATCACAAAGAACATCAGGGTTAACTTTTGTCTACTTCAACTTCACAATTAATTGCCATGTAACTTATTTTTCTATGACCACTTATCATCTCCTAAAAATTAAATCTCTTACACAAAATTTCTGATAATCTTGAATCGTCTATTCAGCAACATTATAATTAAAAATTTATATAGTATTAGGATTCAATCATAGTCAACAAACCTGCTAAGTCCCCAGATGCAACTTGGGGTTGTTTAGGATCCTGGTTACTGCAGCCAGTGGACATTCTCCTCTTTCTCCTCTTTCCTTTTCCGGCAAAAAAGACGATTTCATCTGTTAAATAATTTCACTCACACCTTGGGACACAGTAAACTATAAGAAGATCTGATATATAGAGAGGGAAAATGGGATACAACTATGCTGCAGAGTAGACAAATCTATCAATTTTCTCTCCCTTTAAATTACCTTAGTTAACATATTTTTTGCATCTGGCTTCTAATTTGGTGGAAAATATCAGCTTGCAAAGTACATGGCTGTTGCACAGTTCAATTCAGAGGAAAGTAAGAGCAACATTTTGAAGTTGCCAGTATTAACAAATTCAGTGAAAGTGCAACAAAAGATAGTAGACTTAATCAACTACAACAAAAACAAAAGCAAAAAGGCAGAATAACACCACTTCTACTGAGAAAACAACAGGCAATACAGTTAATAAATCAAAAGGAACATTCAAAAAATATTTATGAAAAATATTTAAGGTCATAATCAGATCAAACAGCTAGCTGTTAAAAGCCATAAAATATTCTGAGGGGGAGAAGAATGTTGTAATAATGAAAGCATGGATGTAATGCAGTGAACCAATCAGATTTGAGAATTTTAAAAGTGCAATGTTATGGTTAATCATGAGTGCATTTCTTCATCTTCATCAACTTCACATTGACAAATTACCATGTAACTTAGTTTTCTATAACCAGGCCCTTCTCATCTCCTAAAATTAAATCTCATACACAAAATTTCTGATATTCTTCAAACTTCTGTTCAACAACATTATAATTAAACATTTATGTAGTATAAGTATTCAATCATAGCCAACAAACCTGCTAAGTCCCCAGATGCAACTTTTGTTTGTCTGGGATTCTGGTTACTGCAGCCAGGGGACATTCTGCTTTTTCTCCTCTTTCCTTTTCCTGCAAAAAAGACAATTTCATCTGTTAAATAATTTCACTCACACCTTGGGACACAGTAAACTGTAAGAAGATCTGATATATAGAGAAGGAAAATGGGATACAACTATGCTGCAGAGTAGGCTAATCTAACAATTTTCTCTCCCTTTATATTACTTAATAGTTAACATATTTTTTGCATGTGGCTTCTAATTTTGTGGAAAATATCAGCTTGCAAAAATACAAGGCTGTTGCACAGTTTAATTCAGAGGAAAATAGGGGCAACATTTTGAAGTTACCAGTAATATATAGATTTAGGCAAGCCTAAAAGCAGAGCTTGCATTTTCTTTTCCTGCATGTCTCTTCAACAAAACTAAAGCCCTTAGCTACTATGGATAAAGTGTGTGGTAATATTAATGGATTTTCATTCGCAACTTCTCCGTGTCCATGTAGAGGACTGATTATAAGATAGTGGCTGTGGTACAGTTGGCTGTGCATGCTAAAAGTAGCACCTTGTATGGTCGGTCATACGGTCGTACATCCAAATTTTTTCAGCTTGATGGGTTACTACTATTTTGCATATTTATGGGGCTACGCTCTGCGAGCTCTGCTATTAACAAATTCAGTGAAAGTGCAACAAAAGATAGTAGACTTAATCAACTAGAATATAAACAAAAAGGCAGAATAACACCACTTCTGGTGAGAAAACAAACAATACAATGAATAAATCAAAAGGAACATTCAAACCAGAGATGATAAATATTTAAGGTCATAATCAGATCAAACAGCTAGCTGTTAAAAGCTATAAAATATTCCGAGGGGAAAAAGAATGCTGTAATAATGAAAACTTTTATATAAACATTTATATAGTATTAGTATTCAATCATAGCCTACAAACCTGCTAAGTCCCCAGATGCAACTTTTGTTTGTTTAGGATCCTGGTTACTGCAGCCAGGGGACATTCTCCTTTTTCTCCTCTTTCCTTTCCCTGCAAAAAAGATGATTTCATCTGTTAAATAATTTCACTTACAACTTGGAACACAGTAAACTATAAGAAGATCTGATATATAGAGAGGGAGAAACGGGATACAACTATGCTGCAGAGTAGACTAATCTATCAATTTTCTCTCCCTTCGAATTACCTCAGTTAACATATTTTTTGCATGTGGCTTCTAATTTGGTGGAAAATATCAGCTTGCAAAGTACATGGCTATTGCACAGTTCAATTCAGAGGAAAATAGGAGCAACATTTTGAAGTTGCCAGTATTAACAAATTCAGTGAAAGTGCAACAAAAGATAGTAGACTTAATCAACTACAACAAAAGCAAAAGCAAAAAGGCAGAATAATACCACTTCATGTGAGAAAACAACAGGCAATACAATTAATAAATAGGAACATTCAAACCAGAGATAAACAAAGATTTAAGGTAATAATCAGATCAAACAGCTAGCTGTTAAAAGCCATAAAATATTCTGAGGGGGAGAAGAATGCCGTTAGGTAATAATGAAAGCATGAATGTAATGCAGTGAACCAATCAGATTTGAGAATTTTAAAAGTGCAATGGAAAGGGTTAATCATAAGGTATTTCTTCACGGTCAGGATGTGAAATGCAACACTAAATTCATGAGATGTTATTATGGAGTATTGTGTCGTAAAATACACTGGTTATAAGCATGGTCATTAAAGTTAACAGTTTCAGGCATTGTCTCCACATTCTCATATTTAGGAGCAACTCACCTGCTGACATTGAAACACTGCTTGAGTCAGTTTGTACTGCACATAATGGCAAAGGTCTTGAATAAGAAGCCTAGAAACAAAAGAAACAGATGCACTGTCAGAAGAACCCTTTTTACTTGAACCTGGTTAACTCAAACCCCCACCCACTTAAACAAGATGCAATTTCCCTTAGGTTTGATTCCAGTTTTCCAGTCATTTACCATCAGCTAACTCAAACTTGCTTAACTCAAACTCAATGTAAACTAAAACTAATTTGACTTTCCCTTACATATACAATACATATAACTTAAATAAACAAGACTTGTAAAAGAGCTCTTATAAAACAGTCTGAATGTATGAAAATGACTGTTAATTGTGCAGGAAAGGAAAAAACATGATTCCTTAAATTAATTATTAACAGGACACAAACCACATTTAACTTCTACTGATTTTTTGTTTCCCTCGGGGGTTTGAGTTGGTGGTGTTGCACTGTACATCAGCATCACAGAATAATTCAAATGTGTGCAAAGATATTTTATAGTTGCATTCCATTTATTCATTTCAAATTCCTCTTCTCTTAGGTGCACTGTCTCAAGAGCTAGGTCTATCAAAGCTATTGATAATTGATTACCAATGAACTCAATCAGCTCCATGAGCCAGTCATGTGAGTGATTTAATTCTGATAAACATGCAATGCCAAGGAAGCATGAATTATAAAACAGATCAATAAGTAAATACGACCCAGTAAATACTAATGGGGAATGTAATTAGAGGAGAAATCTGAAAAAAAAAAAAGAAACAACCACACAAAAACTGCCAAAAGACAAGCAGAAATGAAAACCACAATCAAACTCAGAAGAAGATCAAACCAAGACCAAACTGAAGGCAAATGTGGAAAATAACTAACAAGTTTAAGGAAAGAAAGGAAGTTATTCAAAGAGCAAATAAATAAGAGGAAACAAAGAGTAAATAAACTACTGTGGTTTTTCACTGAACTTCATGGAAGAAGTGCTTTGGATTTGTCTCAGACTCAGATTAAAAACAGCCAGAGTGTAAGGTGGGATGTTGTTAAAATTACTCATTCTGTAAAACTACTGAGAAGACATTTAATGTTAAAAACCCTACTCATGCTACTTGGCATCAAGTGGTTTTGTACCTAAGATTGTTTCTCACCAAAATTCAGTGGATTTGTACCCAGTTTGAGTTGGTTTGTAACCAAACTACTGGTTGATTTGTACCCATCCCAATAAACATTCATTTGAAATACCTCACATGCAAGTGTCTGAACAGATGTCACTTGTTGTGTACAACAAGTTAGTGGAGTCAAGCGAGTAAGATAAAAAGAAAATTCTGTTGTGAATAATATTATTGGCTATAACACAAAATAAATGTGATGTCTTTAATAGAACAGTGTGTTGTTTATACCTGTGACTATTTTAACAATAACAATTAACTAGTGTAAGAGTGATTTTTTTCTCTCTTTGGTGGCTGCATGCCAAAAATGGATGCCAAAATTATATATAAAACTTATTTAATGTGGGTAACATTGCTATTTAAAATAAGAAACCCACCTTACTTTAATCATATATAACAATGGAAAACACACTCGACTCGAGGGTACAAAATGATTGGGTATGAAATGACCATGCACAGGTACAAAACGACTAGTGACCTGCTAGATGATTTGATGTCAAAATACAACATGCAAGAGTAAAATTCTCACCACATTTGCTGGTAAAGAAGCTGCAGACCCTCTGGGCATTGGGTATGTTGATTGTGTCAGAGTACTTGGTGCTCGTGATGATGGAAAAGCTGGTACATTCGAAGGTCTGAATATTGCAGTAGAAGTGTTGACAGTTGACTCCCCTGCTGTCTGAGTCTCCCTCCTATTGTCCATAGGTAGCTGTAGAGGTTTGTTCACACCAGATGTCATGTGACAGTCTGTGGGGTCAGTTCTAGAGTCAAAGTGCACTGCAAGTGACTGTGAATTTTCAGTAACTCTTGAAGCTGATGACGAAGAACAAGAAGACAATGTGGATGACACAGATGGAACAGTAATGTCTTGTGATGAAGGAGGATCATCAGGTATAACTATGACTTCTACAACATCAGATGACTCCTTCATTGTCTGACCACACCTATTACTCTCCATCAGTAGAGCAAGTGTTCTACTTTCCCATCAGGCATGTAAAGTGAAAGCTACTGGATCCCTGGAAAGCAGATAACAAAACATAAGGATACAGTATTGATTACAATTAATTCAAACTTAATTTTTTACTTATTTAGGAAATATAGGTTACCTGCCATAGGCCTTGTGGCCAAGTATTGCAGGAACTTAACCTGGTTTTATCACAGGAACTTATAACCCCCCATTCCCAAGCCCCTTCCACAGCATAATCTATAATTCGTCAAGTGTTCCCCATGGATGATAGTTTTAGATATTCATTTATACTCCTGGGCAGAGCTTGACACTGTGGGAGGTAAGTGTCTCCTCATCCTCAACATACTGACTAGAATCCAGTGGTAAAATTTCCAGGTGGCAGAAATCCACATATATAATAATAATAATAATAATGATAATAATAACAACAATAAAATAATAGTGGGATTTAGCAGTGGACATTTCTTGAAATGGATCTTCTTGTCCACTGCTTTGGAATGTTGGCTTTTGTGGATGGGTCAAGAAAAACCAGTGTAATTACAACTTCATGTTGTTTGTTGGAAAATTGATAGTTTATTTCAAAACTTTTTCTCAAAAAAATATACTATGTCAGCCTTTTTCTCAGTTTTTAAAGCCTAAATAAATTTACTAAATAAATGCAAAAAGTGTCCTTAATATGCATAACTGTAAAGTAATACAGGTGTATGTACTATGCCAGTGAGTTATTTATGATTCATAAATATAGGCAGAAAGAACACAAGAACAGCTTTGCAAGTGGTATTTTTCTTCAAGTCCAAACCTTGAAAGTATAGCACAACTTTAACCTATATAAGAGCATGTTTGCAAAATTAGCCATGGTCTTGGAAGGATAATAAATGGTTGCCATAGTCATATGACTTTAAAATTCTCTCATTTTTCCCAGGATTTTTCTTGAAAAATAGTAAAATTTCCATGACCAAGTGAATCGGCAATTTCATTTATAAATGCTGAACTCCCAACCTTCCCTCACAGCCGTCCTCCCCACCCTTAAATTTATGCTTTCAGCATGCTACATACAGTGTATATATGAACTGACAGTTCCTCTGGGTAACATGGAAAAGTTTTGATTTTCTTGGAAACACAACATCAACTTGTTGCGCAAATTTATTCACCAATATTATACACTTACAATCCAATACTTTTTATGTGCGTAAAATGTACCAGAGAATTTAAAATGTAAGTAAACAATGAAAATAGAGGGAAAAGAAAATGTATGATTTCATTCACAAATCAACTTGAACTTGCATTACAAAGGGAAAGGATATAGTGGTCAACAGTCTGTCAACTGGAAACATAAAGCATTTCCCTACTACAAGAGGGAAAGTGTTACCACCTTTTGTTATCCTCGGTGTAAAAACCTCACAACTGACGTCACAGAATCTATGACAGCCAGGGCTTGATCGCTAATGAATGGATCAGAAGATCAATGGATCGATGGATCAGTAGTTCAATGGATCGATGGAAGATCAGTATGGATCACTAGATCGATGGATCACTAGATCGATGGATCGCCAGATCGGTAGATCGATGGATCAGTAGGTCGATGGATCGGTAGATCGATGGATCAGTAGATGGATCGGTAGATCGATGGATCGGTAGATCGATGGATCGGTAGATCGATGGATCGGTAGATCGATGGATCGGTAGATCGATGGATCGGTAGATCGATGGATCGGTAGATCGATGGATCAGTGGATCAGTGGATCAGTAGGGTACACTATATCTTCAGAGGGCTACTTTTTGTCGAAAATTTGTCTCCCCACTGAAACTGAAAATCTAACATTACCAAAAAAGGAAAGCAAAATCTTAAAACGCGCACGAGATATTTCGAAAAAAAGGGGTTTTACATAAAATTTTTATATAAAAGTTAATAAAAAATATGGATAGGTGCCATATTCCTCACAGTGCCTTGACTCCCGGGCGAACTTTCCGTGCGAAATGTCCTCGTGCAGGGAGCTCTTATTCCGAGAACTCATAAGCATTTCTTTTAGTTACATGCGATTTCGCTACGTGGCTCTTCAATTATCTTTACTTAAAGTTGACTACACTGAAATCATGAAACGAGTTCTAAAGAATAGAGAAAAGTCCTTGCGCAGCGAAAAAATGAACGCAAAAGGGAAAGCTAGTTCGACAGTGTCTTGGGTGTTGTTTGGTTTGATCAACCTTCAAACGTGCAACTCGAAGAAAACACGTATAATGAAACTCAACCGTATTTTTCGTCTGCTTATTTTCCCATTGCGATCGCCAGGTGAACTTTATAATTAGGAGAACGTGACTGTCACACCATTGGAATTGCTTGGCTGGTGGTATGCCATGTTGACATACATCTCAGGTGAAGGCGTGACATGTGTAGAATCGACAGATTTTAATGAAATTTGGCCTGAAAATTCATTAAACATCAAACAATAAAAGCGTGTCGAGGATTAGCTTTAATTTAGATATTTCTCATTTTACGGCCGCAAACGCCACAGGGTCGGCAAATTATCCGCTACAAAAACTTTGCGTGTCTATAAAAAGATAACCAATAAGAAACCAGAGAAATCCTGACACACATTTAGAGACTGATCCTTGCTGATTGATACTGTGCAGTACTTTTGAAGAAGCGATGGTGTTTGATACCTGATTAATTCAGCGGAATGTCAATCGATCGTTTTCTGTTTACTGGCTTCTAACTTCTTAAAGAAGGCTCTGCATACATAGTGGATATTTTTTTTCGAAATCTGCAGTTCATAACCTTTCTATTAATATATAGAGTGTGGTAGTTAACTTCGAAACAACACGCGTACGATTTTTTTTCGAAGGACCCGCGAAGGTATTGTGTCAGCTTAACGTGACAAAAACATCACACGAACCAATCAAAAGGTGAGATTCCCACGTGTATTTTGTTTGGAGTTTTCCCTGAGAGCGTCTTTCATTTCGCGCACAATGGCTGCTGTTGGAGGACTTGGAGAGGTAAATTCAGTAAGCGATCTTGAGAGAAAGCTTGCCGAAATCCACATTCCATGGGACGAAATTGCTCCGGCCCACATCCACGAATGGCTGAAAGTATACTCGAAAAGCCACGGTACCTCACCGGAGCTACTCTTGGCTGGAATATTGCCATGCACTAGTGCATTAATTGGCAACACCACAGTAAAGCTGTTTGATTCCTTTCAAGAGAAGGGAAATCTGTTTATGTTAGGCCTGGCTCCATCCGGAGCTGGAAAAACCCCCGCCTGCAACATTGGATGCGTGGGACCGTTAATTTCGCATTTGGAGCTACGAATTGATCGAAGCATTCTGGTTGACGAAACGTCGTCGAATGGTCTCTTTAACCATTTTGTGAACTTCCAAAAAAGTGCCGCCGGGGAATATGTTCCCGTCTTGTGCATTGATGAAGGTTATACCTTCCTGAACAAACTGATTTCAACGTCGAAGTCAGCATCGCATACTTGTCTGACAATGGAGCGTATGTGCAAGCTGTACGACGGCGATTATTGGTATTCCGTTAAGGGCAAAGGAAAGCGGGTGGGCGTTCAGAGTGCGCGTATGAGTATGGCGACCTTCACAACACCTCGAAGGTTTTTGACTGAAATATGGCCAAAGGTTGTCGCTTGCCGCAACGGACTTGCGGATCGCGTCTTAATTATGTACCAGGATCGCCACCAAATGGAAATTGAAGAGATGGAACAGTGTTCCTCTGATATCCAGCAAGGTCCATTGAAAGGCTTAGGGACGGTGTATGAACATATCTACACAGAGCACCACCAGCAAAACCCTGTCGAATACACATTAACTGCAACCGCCCGCGAGCTGTACATAAAATACTGTAAGGGGAAGACCAATATGCCATCTTCAGTCGGTGCGTTTAATCCTGAGTGCAACGCCAAAACAGGGAAAAACGCCCTCAGGTTGGCCCTAAATCTTCACGTGCTATGGCATCGTCTTGACAAGGCCTTAAATCAACTTGCTGGACCAACCCCAACGACAATCAGCGAAAGCACCATGAACATGGCCTTGACTCTGCACGACACCCTTCTCGCTTTCGGAGGAGTTGCTGAAGCAGTAAGTGTTCATTTCTTTTTTATTTGTCGAACTCAATCGGACATTGCATTATTTCTGAACTCTTAATCTTTGGTAAAACTGGTTTTCAAAATCAAGTTCTTGGAGGCTCCAATTAATTCTGTATACCCGGGATTGTAGCACGTGTTTTTAGTACACGTAGAAATTCAGGAATGCATTCAGATGCACTGTCGCTTAGCCTTGAATACGTAGTAAAAGACTCCCCAGCATTTCAGCTTTAACGTAAAGGAAGGCGAAGATCATGTTTCAAAGTCTACAGTTTTCATTCCTAGACCAAGTTATGACGAGAAGATTTTCCACCGTAACTTTTGAATCCTTGGACAAAATCCACGGATTGAGTTCGATTTGGTTCGATTTTCGAATGTTCGATTGAAGGGGCTAGGTCACGCTATTTTAGGTAATTTTACAAAATTTAATTTTGTTAATTACGAGCTCCAAAATTTTTCCGTTTTGTTTTCTTTTATGACAGTGTTTGCAGTTGAAACAAGGGGCTTCAGCAATACGTCTGGACGTCTCGAAAGAAGACATAAAGAAGAAAATTCTATGCTTACCTGGGCCGTTTTGCAGTGCAAAACGCGTCTACAACAGTTTTTCTTCAAGTTCGCGACCCAGCCCTCAAGTCACAGAACAGTGTTTTCAAGAACTGACCAATGAATCTCTTGGTAGTTTCAAGAAGGTACAGAAGTCTACGTTCTTCTATAAAGCGCTACCATTAACCCTTGCTAATTCTGAACATCATCTTGGTGCTCTTAACTTGTCCCTTGAAGATTATAAAGCAAATTTTTTGAAGAAGGATGACCTTCTTCCCTCCTCCCAGAGGGATAAGATGCTCGAAAATCACCCACAGGAAAACGAACTGAGGGCATACCTCCAACAAGAAGGGGCTCCAATTTTAGATGAGTAATTCTTCTAGTCAGACTGTATCCCTTTAGTGCAAAATGTTAGCCC